TTCTTTCTGTCTACCTTCAAAATATATTTTCAAGATAATTTAGTTTGCAGAAAGAAAACTGACTGCCCAACTCACAAACCTAGAAATATATGGCCTCCATTTGACAAAAAACTCAATAAAAAATAGTTATGTTAATGAAACCTTTTAGGATTTTGGTTTGGAAGTTTGGGTCAGTAGCCAAAGAATGTGACCTAAATAAAGCTCAAGTGATGAGGTAAAACAGTTCTTTTGGGCACATTGAGTTCAAGGATGTTTTGCTGAGATTCCCAAGCAAGGCTCTTAATAAAGAACACTCTGTCAAAGATATTAGCACCTGTCCAGCAACATGCTAGACCCTCTCAGAAGCTATCCTTGAACTCTCTTATTTTCCATCTCACTCCTTTTATTTGTTCCATATATTACAATTATTTGGATTACAGAGAAACTTTATGTAAAAAGATGTTCTATTTTCCTTTCCTTAACAAGATCTCCAAGCAAAATAAAGATGAACATGGATGATGTTTAAAAGCCAATGAATGCTTGTTTTGAAAGAGAGTTTTCAAATCTATTGACAGGACAGTGTTAACAACATGCAAACGGGGAACAGGAACGTTCTGACCCACTGAATTTCTGAACAAGGGTTATGGTTCTCTATTTCTGTTCTAATTTGGAAGCTGATCTGACAAGAAAGAATATCTGAATGATTCTCTTTTGGATGATTTTATTCTGGATCTAAATCTCACCCACCCCTTTCCTTTGACTTATCTTTTATTTTATATAATGAGACCTCTTGGGTTTTACATCAATTAAAGAGTGCCATTTCATAAAAATGCCAAAATGGTTGTACTTTTTCAGATCCCACATATATTCAGCCTTAACAGAAATCTAGTGGAAAATGTCTAAAGACTCCTATATAGAAAGAACAGCATGGGACCAATGCTTCCACTTTGAAATTAGATTTAGCCCTAAAAAGCAACCATCATGAAAATGAGAGGGGTAGAGACAGTAGCTAGAAACCAGAGCATTCTGCAACAGAGATGCTGAGCCAGGCTCCCTGAAATACATTTCTGATTGAAGTCTCACATAGTGGAGACATGCAGGTCCAAAGCAGGCATGAGATGCTACAAGGACCCTGACTTTGCATCGGTTGTGTCCATGACTCATTGTGCTTAACAGTAAACCATCATTGATACAGGCAAGAGCAGGACAGGCAGCCTTAGAGGTGTCAGGAGGGATGGGAATTGGATCTTTGCAGTACAGAAAAATGGGAGACGGGGGGTTGAAAAGCCTCTCATTAGAAATATAAACTGGTTTCACAGAAGGAGCACAAAAGCAGGAGCAGAATGCACGCTCAGAAGTGACTTCACTCTTATGGTTAGGAACAGCTAGAGTATTGTGTTCCATACTGGTCCATCCAGTCTTTGGTTTCATGGCTTTCTGCTCCTTAAGCCCAAATACTGGCTGGTGCTTTTCAGAAGTTGTAATTATTACACATTTTGCCTTTAGGGCATGAATGGAGGAAGAATCTTCAAGACTGGAAATTGTGGCACAGGAAACAGCAAGCCACTGGGGCTAGTTTTTCAATTTATACCAATCAACCAGCAAGGGATTTTCTTCCTTTAAATTGTATTTTATTTTTGTTGAGAAGGTACACAGCAAAACACAGAACAGTTCAACAGCTTCTGTATGTGCATTTCAGTGACAGTCATGACGTCCTTCAAATTGTACATCCATTCTCACCTTCCTTTTCTGAGTTGTTCCTCTCTTATTAGCGTAAACTCACTGCCCTCTAAGGTTCCAATCGAATCTGACCAGTTGCTGCTGTCAGTTTGACCCCATATAACTAGTTCTTTAAAAAGCGTAAGAATCAAGGCAGACATTCTTTCCTAGTGACATGAAACTATTGTTCGGTTTTAAGAAGACTTCAGGATTTTACCTAGTCACCCCTTCTATGTTCTTATCAATGTTTTCAAGCAGCAATCACAATTGGATTGCACTCTTCACCCAGAAGGAACTTTTCACATGAAAGACATAAAATGTTTTGTAGAGCAGAACATTCTTTGAAAGCTCTGGGGAAGAAAGCACTTGCTTGAAGAACTTAATTGATAGAAACACGGCAGCTTGGACAAGGTTGCCTGAGTTCAAAGGCACCGCTTTTAATCCCAAACCATTTTAATTTTGCTTAACTTTTATTTCTTTCTGGGTGACTAAACTGCAAACTTCTATTAATCTACTGCCAAGTAATTTTTCTTAAGAAGGTGGATACATTTACAAGACCCATAGCCAGGAGCCGCCTGTCAGGAATGTTGGCAGTACGGTTTCGAGCAGATAAAAACAGAAGAACAGGAAAGCGAGTCCTTCTGTTTGATATGTGGAGCAGACTCTGTTTTTGGCAAGTTTGCTCCAATGGAAAACATTCCAGGCCAAGGACTCCTCTAAGTTTTGAAATGTAATGCCTGGGGCAGTACCTGGTCATGGAAAGTAGCACTTGATTTTGTGTTAGTAGAACAGCCAGAATGTCAACTGTTGCAAGGTGAGGCATCCAATTCACACAGATTTAGCTGGAGAGAAAGCTCAGTTCAGGAGATGACAATGAACATTTGGGGGATGAATAGAAGAGAGGAAGAATGCAAACAGTCTACTGCAGCCAAGAAATTAATAGTTGTTTGAAGAAACACTTCAACAAAATTATTCTTTTTCACTCCTAATCTGTAATGTTGTGTTCCGACTTTCCCACTACACAATTTTTTGGATGGGGTAGAGTAGACCCATTTGAGAGTTAAGGAACTTTACAACTGTAAACAGATATAATACCTTCAACAGAAGTGATTTCTTAAAGCAGGTGAGGGGGAGTCAGTTTATCATCATAAAGTGAATGGCCAGAATCACAACCTGTTTCATCATTTGACTTGAGTCCCTGAGTGGTGCATTCAGGTAAGCACTTGAGTACTAACTGAAAGGTGGTGGTTTGATTCCTCCCAGAGGAATAAAGGACTAGTGATATAATGGCAAAAGACCAGTCATGCAATCTCTATAGAGGGCAGTTTTGGTTTGCACACATGGGGTTACTATAAGCCAAAACTGACTCTATAGTCTATAATGAATTTTTTAGTATGTGTTAATAACACAGATCAGTACTCCTGCCATTTTTCCCTTGGCATTTCTCTTCTGGGGAGAAAATGGATTTATTGAAATGCCTGTACTCTTCCCCTTTTGTTTATCCACCATCTTAAAAAAACCAAAGTACTTTCCTACTTTGTTCTGGTCATTCTTTGTTTTTGATGGACCAGAATATTACTTTTAATTGACTTTAATAGAATGATCCAGATACTGAAGAAAAATACATGTAGTCTGGTAGATTAAATGATTTGTAGACATTATTTAGTGCAGCATCTTTTTGACTGGCACTATCTGATATGAGACATCAATTGATAATCATCTGCCAATGAACCATGTTAATTTAGCATAACTATGAACAAGGAAATGAAACTGGACACCAAGCATTTAGAGGAAAGGAGTGATTTTTTTTTTTTTTTTGCTGAGGGGTTGAGAAAGGTTCGATTGTGTAGGTGGAAACTGAGCTGGATATGGAAGATGGATAGACAGATGGATGGATGAATGAATGGATGGATGGATGGGGAGTGGGTATGTGGATGGATGGATGGGGAGTGGGTACGTGGATAGATGGATGGATGGATGGATGGATGGATGATGGAGAGATGGGTGATAGAATGGTGAATGAGTAGATGGAGAGGACATCTATAGAGAAAAGAGAAGGAAGAAGATACTGAGATATTCTCAGTGAATGCTCATGGAGCCATGAAGGGGACATCCTGAAGAAAAGAAAGTTAGAAGATTAACAGACCAGAAAGGAAATGAAGAGTTACTTTCCACAATGCCTCTTACCAAGTTAAGGCAGAAAAAAATGTGTAATCATCAGGTCTATATGAACTTCTCTCTCCAGCCAGCATTGTGACTTGCCAGTAGCTTCTAGGCCAGTAACACAGGACAGTTAGCAGGGAAACAGATTCTCTGGCAAGAAGAAGGCAAGTGAAGGCAGCCTCTGTTATTTCATCTTCTTGGTGAGTGTGGGGAGCATAGAAGTGTAACCAGCTCTTCAAGATATTCATAGCAAAGTGACTCACGTGGCTGCTGCTTTCTGTGAACTTGCTTTCTGCCATTGTCTCTGCTTGATCCAGGAACCAGGAAACTTTCTTTTTTTTGTATTTTTAATCACTTCATGCTCACACTTTCTCTTGATACTCTTTTGAGAAAGAATTTTCTGCTCCCTCCCCCATCTTGTCCACCTTCCTTGTAGAGGTCAGCCAGAGGTACACTGGGCCACTTGTTTGAGAAACACTGATCACGTCAGTATCTATATACTCTACGCTCAGACTGAATTCATTAACAAGTGGTCTTTTAACAACTCAGTAGAACTGTGAGGAGGAAAATTATAGGTGGGGGAGTACCGTACTTAAGAACTCAAGTCTGAGAGCTGATTTTTGCCTCAAAAGCTTTATACCAAATTATAATGATAACCTATATAATAAAAAAAAACAACAGGTTAATCATTCCCAGAAAAAGGAATTGTAAAACATTTTGGAGAAACTTAAGTTTGCTTTTAGGAAATCCTTTCAAGTCGGAGTTGTTTTGGAGAAATGTGGTTCTGTAGCGACAGACTAAGATATAGTTTGATTACTTCCTTATCCATTATCATCTTGAATTTTAGGATTCAAGCCACCTTAGATTTGGGGAGGAGGTTGGGCATTGGTCATTATAATTTGATAACTGTATAGTTGGTTCCATTGCTAAAATTTCTCTAGATACACTTTTATATTACATACTGAACAAAGGTAGGTTTATATTCTTTGTATTAAAGCTGTGGCAATCAGTATGCATCATCAAGGCCCACCTCTAGCATTGCTGAGAAGAGGCTTCTTATGGTTACATCAAGAAAAAGGGATGTAGTTTTGCTTTAGGAAATATCCCTAATCTAAATCTCCTTTTTCTATTCTTCCAAGCTTCCGCAGGTTCACGCGATCCAACAGTGTGACCACAGCAGTACAGGCTGACCTGGATTTCCATGACAATCTGGAAAATTCTCTGGAATCTATAGAGGACAACTCATGTCCCAGCCCAATGGCCAGACAGTTTTCCCGAGATGCCAGCACCTCGACAGTTAGCATTCAGGGCTCAGGAAACCATTATCATGCCTGTGCAGCCGACGATGACTTTGATACAGATTTTGACCCTTCTATTCTGCCTCCCCCGGACCCTTGGATTGACTCTATTACTGAAGATCCTCTGGAGGCTGTTCAAAGGTCAGTGTGCCACCGAGATGGCCACTGGTTTCTGAAGCTTCTTCAGGCAGAGCGAGCCCGCATGGAAGGGTGGTGCCAACAGATGGAGAGAGAAGAGCGGGAAAGCAATCTGCCAGAGGACAGTAAGTACTGGCGCCTGCAGAATCACTTGCCCATGACTTGGGCTGGGGCTTGCTTTGTGTTTCTTCCTTGTCAGGATTACTTGAATACCTCTACCTTTCAACTGTCTTTGCCTTCTTCAGGCACCAACCATCCCTCCCACAGCACTCTCTGCTTCACATCGGGGTTCGATAATCCATTGCAATAACCACACAAAATGCATAGACAATACTCACACTTAGGGAGTTTATTAGAGAAGTGAGCAGGGTACAATTCAGGATCAGAAACAGCTCTGGTACAGCAGTTCTACAGCCAGGAATGCCTCCTTTAGCCAGTAGTTAATGCCCAAAGGCCACATTCTCCAAGTCAGCCTCCTGTCCATAGGCACTCAACTTTACTTGGTCCATGGGCCAGGAATCCCACAGCTGCTCCGTCTCTCCATGCTGCTGCCTCTGCCGCCCCACTTTTCCAGGTAGGGATCTCACATTCTACTCATGCTCTTCTTTCTTGAGGGTCTTGGGATCATCTGTTGCTGCTTCTGAGATGGCTCCTCTAAAGCCTAGCAAAACTAACCAATCCCCATGTTAGAGTCCTGTACTCTCTAGTTGCATGATCCCATCCATCCAGTTAGTAGCAGTTAAGAAGACTTTGAATACAAAAGCCGTATCATGTCAATTCATGGTACCACACATTCCCAAACTGGGACTTGTAGAAAAATTAGGCATTTTCAGTTAGACATCTTGATACCCTTGTACTATACATTAAAAAGAAAACAACTGGACAGATGTAACAGCTCCCTTAGCTCTGGATGGTGGCATTCATTTTTTTCTCTGAAACAAACAAGCTCTACTTGGAGGTAATCTCATGTTACTGCCATACGTCCTCTTTCCCAAGACACTCCTGAAATGTGGCTGCTCCTCAGGAAATAAAAAAAATAATTCTAACTAATTTAAAGGCATGACCTTTATGGTTGTATTACTTTCATTAACATACAGTTTTAAAACAAGGTAGTAGTCAAGAAATCAAACGACATATTGCATTAGGCACATTTGTTGCTAGAAGAAGAAGAAAGAAGAGGAAAAAAAGAGTAATCTGATACAATTTGATGTACTTGACCTATACCTATGGATGCAGTAACTCGAAAGAGAGAACAAATCTTTACAGCGAGGATCATTCCCACCCCCTCCAAGCACAGAGTAGACAGGGTTGGGCAACTTGGACGTTGGCTACCCAAAGTGAGGGGGCTACAAAGACAAGAAGTGACTGGCTTACAAGCTTTCTAGAGGGAGCTTAGACCCAGAGGGCATGGAGGAAGGTAGAATCTCAACTGAGTAGTATCCAATCTGTCTAGCG